AGAATGGACAATGAACATATGGAGAAGTTGAATTTGGAGAAAGAAGGGTTTGCCAAAAGTTGAAGAGAAAGAGAACACCTTTTTTTAATGTTTAATCAAATAAAAGAAAAGTCAAAGAACTAGTAGTGATATTAAGGTCTTATTTGTTTCTATTAAGATTAAGACGTCTGAATTTAAATTTGAATACGCATTTAAATATTAAAATGTGCATTAAGATCTAGATGTATAAATCTGAATAAACATCTGAATATTAAAATATTGTCTCTGAATCCGAACACTAAATTATTAGGACAATTTATTTTCAATATATGAATGCACATATTAAATTAAACGTTATATCAATAAAATATTATCAAAACCTTGTTAGTAAAATAATTTTTTTATATAAAATAATATTTTGAACTTTTTTTTACCATAACAAGGTAATATGATTTATCTTTTAAGAACTCAACATCAAGTTACATCATTAATATGATTATTTTTTGCACTCAAATACTTTGAGAATCTAATATAATGCAATTTAAAATAGTTTATATAGAGTAGTAAATATATAGTTTAGGAAAATATTTTATTTTATTTTATTTTAAAAAATTATTATTGTTATCGATCAAATAACTAATACTTTCTTATTTTTTGAAATAGTGCTAAATATTATATCATGGGAGTGCTTATCAATTAAAATATTGATTAATTTTTGAAAGTAAAAAATGTATATTAAGTTAATATGAATAAAAGAAATTATTATGGCAAGCATGTAATTAAATATTAAATAAATAAGAAAATAACTTTTATGAGTTGTTATGATTTAGTTGAATTAAGATAAGAGACTTATTTTTTAGTATGAATAGTGTTAAGGGTGTGTTACAGATCTGATTCATTCACATATATCCACACCCATTAAAGGCTTATAAGAAAATAAAACAAACGAACTTAATGAACTGAATCTGAATAATTAAAATTCAGTTCTTAAAAACAAACACACTTAATGAGGCAAATCTAAATGATTAAGATTCAAACTCCATCAAGTGCAAACAAATGAGGTCTAACATAATATAATATTGTTTTGTCGATATTTATGATAATATTTTTAAATCATAATTTATAATTTAATTTAATAATTATAAAAAAATAAAAAAGTGGCTGACCCAGCAAGCGTGTAGCCCACGTACTTGTGGGTTGGGCCGACCATTTTTTGACCCACACAAAAAATGGGCTAACCCAGCCTGACCCGTAAAATGTCAAAGCCTGTATGGATTAGCCCGGATGGGGTGGGCTAGCCCATATTGATAGTTCTACAAAGAACTAATAATTTAATTTGAGTCAATAAAAATTATTTTTTAAAAAAAAAGGAAAAAAGCAAACGGGAATCGAACCCTACATCAGGGTTCATGAGTTGCCCTTCTACCATGGCAGCACGAGCGTGTTTTGGTCTATGGGTGGTATGCTATATATTTATATAAATCTTATATATATAGAATTTTCGTCGAAGATCGTGGGTGGCGTGGCACCCCCACACCCCTTAGTAGGTCCGCCCCTGTCTCTAATTAATTTCACTTAACTAATACTAAATCAATATCATCGCTTCACTGATACTAAATCAATATCATATACTATATTGATATCATTAAGATTGATTATTTCGCTTGATTGATACTCTCTCTCTCTCTCTCTCTCTCTCTATATATATATATATATATATATATATATATATATATAAAGAGAGAGAGAGAGAGAACTGTACCGGTATCATTAAGGTTTCTTGTTAAAAATTACTCATAAGTCAATAATACCACAACATTATAATGATACCAATACCATATATAATTTATTGATTTAGTATCAGTTAAGCGAAAATATCACCCTTAATAATACTAATATAGTATATGATATGATTTAATATCGGTTAATGATACATCACTGCACATTAGGATACAAGGTTAGCGATGTATCAGAGAGGGGATAGGTAATTCGGTTATTTCACTGAACTTTCGAATATATAGTCAGACATCCTGATACATAGGTGAGGGATGTATCAAAAAAGAGGGGAGGAAAGTATCCAAAAGGGATGGGACGTATCATCGAGAGGAGAGTGATATACCAGAGAGAGAAGTTTGATTATTTTTTTAAAATGATAAGAAATTTTAGAAATTATAAAAAAAATGAAATGTGTATTTATTTTATACTTCTTTTTTTATAAAAAATAAATAAATACTATTACAACCCCACCTACGTAGATGATGATTAGAATCAACCCATGTGACACCAGCTATAAAATAGTACTACTACCATACATAAGCATTTAGTCAAATGAAATTAAAGGCATTATAACTCTAAGCCACTGGGTAAAACTTTGATACACGTGCAACCATTTAATTTTATATTACTATGCTTTAAATAAATTGATCATTTAATTAATCAAATTAAAATACGCTATAAGTATTCACAAATAGCCACTATAATAAATTTAATTATGTTTATAGCTATAGTTTAAATATTTATGGGTTGTGGATACAGTTTAAGCGGCATAGTTTGTATGATTCGTGGGTTTGCATAGTTTGTGCATGGGATTGTATAATTGAGTTATTTTTGTATAAACTTGAAATAACGAATTTATACAAATACAAATATCTGACATTTAAACAGTAATTATACAAACTCGAAATTTCTGCCCACATAATGATCACAAATGATAATTAACAAAAATTATAACTATGATGAGTAATTAATTAATATATGTTTGCTTAACCATATAATTTTTCCTTCAAACTTAATTTATACTAGATAAGAAAATAATTTGTGAAGAAAAAAATTATCAGATTAATCAAAGTAAAATAATTCCAACTTAATTAGTGTATCCTTACTTTTTAGTCGAGTGTTGTTGAAAATTGAAATATATCAATTTCTTTTAATATTCTTTCATATTCATATTTCAAAGTGAAGCGTAAATTGAAAACATATAGGAGGAAGACACGATACGTAATTGTAATGGAGAACTAAAAAGATTAAAATATCTTCTAAAGCTATAAAACAGACACGTTGAAACGAAGTTTTAACCAAACTAAGTCATTATATAAAGTCATTCATCAAAATAATATGTTTTTTCTAAAATTTTAAAACTAGTATAAACGTATTCCACAGTAACGTTTTAGGATATATTTTATTTTTTAAAAGTTGATGGCGTCAGATTGATATACGTTACTCACAGTAACGTTTTACTCCTAAAACGTTATTACTGAAAATAACGTTTTAAAAGTAAAACGTTATTTACAGTGACGTATATCAACTTAATGCTGTTAGTTTTTAAAAAATAAAATATACCCTAAAACGTTACCATGAAATACGTTTATACTAGTTTTGTAAAATTTTAGAAAAATATATTACTTTGATAAATTGTTTTATATAATGACTTAGTTTGGTTAAAAATTCCAAATCTCATTTCTAATATAAACAAATTATATTCATCTTTAAGAAATTACTTCTTTTTCATATATAATGAGATAGAAATCTAAAGCAAATACTAATAGGATTATAAAATCATTATCTTAAACATGACATATAGTTTGATGATTTTTCAAAAGTTATAAAGTTATTAAAAATCAAGTAGCTAGACTTTTAAGGTACAATGCATCTAACACATGAATGAGTGTTAGAGCAAATAAAGAAAAGCATGACATTCCAAATATCTTAACTGTTGACAGAGAAGAAGGGATTGTTATTTCCTATTTATGTGATGTTTTTGGTAGGGATACCTTTAATTTACTCTTTATGTACCCTTCACAATTTTTTTATAAAATAAAGGAAAAAGGATCTGATATATCCTTTAATTTTGTTATTTGGAGCGGATATATCACTCGTTATGAAAGTGGTTCATATATGCTCTTATCGTTATACGAACGGCTCACATATACCTCTGTCGTTACAAAATGAGCTCACATATTATATTTATTATTTTTAATTTTTTTTAAAATTGTTTAGGGGTATATATGATTCTTCAATCAAAATTCAAGGTATATTTTAATTTTTTTAATACATAAATTATTTTTTGACTTCTTTTATTATAATTATTTGAGTTTCTTATTCTTATTTTGTTTTTTTCTTTCATTCCTTTGTTTAAAGAAACAAAATTTAAACTATTTTTTTTGTCTATATTGTAATTTGATTTTTGTATTGGAAGAAAAAAATTTGGTCATCTACAATAAGTTTTACAAGAATATTAGTGAAACATAAATAAATTTGATTATCAAAATAATAATTCTAAATTAGTCCTTGAAACAAAAAGAAAGTCAAAAAAATATGTTTGACGAGGATTAAATTTACTCATATGGGATTATATATTGTAGAAAAAAATAATAAAAAGTTGGATTAAAATTATCTTTTTTTCATTTCCGTTAGAAGAAAAGGGTATATGTGAGCCATTTGTTTATAAGTAAAGGTATATATTTGTCACTTTTATAACAAGGGATATATCAGCTCCAAATAACAAAGATGAAAAGTATATCAGATCCTTTTTCCTAAAATAAATTAAGCAAGATGGTCTACTCTAATTCGATAAAAAGATTAACTTATAAGGTGACAATTATTAAATACGATAAGAAAAAACCAAGTATTTTATCTACGGACAGCGTGGGGCTACTATCACACTACTAAAAAAAATTGGTCAAATATGAAGGACATGGTCGTTTTTTAAAAAATAAATATATATTTGGACAATTTTACAATTCAACCACCTATGCTCTTTGATAAAATATTTTCTGTATCGTTTTTATATGTAATTTTACACTTAGAAACCCGAAAATTCGATAGGACGATCGTCAATTTTTACTTTTTATTTTAAAAAAAGTTACTATTTTAAACTAAACTCTATTTGTTGGCGTAGACAATGAAATTTTATTGATAAATTCATATTAAATTTTGATTAAATCTATAAATTTCTTATATATTGACCAAGTCAAATTATTGGTTAATAAAATCGGATTAATATTTGAGTCAAAACATATTACTTAAATAAAGTCCAAATTATATTTGAATCAATCCATTAAGTTGGCAAGACGAATCCAAATCAAGTTCTTCAAGCCCAAGCCCCCTGAAATTACTTGTAGACCAAGATACCTCAAAACCCTAGCTTACACTTATATAAAGGGGTCCTCATGAGACCAAAAGAAGAAGGAAGAAAAAGAAGAAGACACACACAAATACATAGAGAATCATTGCTCTTCGTGAGTCTTTAAAGTCTTCACCTCTAAGTGTTGAGCCGCAAGTATTTCATCAAATCAAGAACATCTGCGAAGGAAGAGAAGAATTATGAGATTACATATCTTTTCTTAAGAATTTTATAAAGATTGTAACCTTCGCATAAATTCAAATAGAAATACTATTATTTGCTTGCTATTTTTCTTTTTTATTTGCTAAATTTAAAAAAAACTTTTGACGCATTTCTCACTAGTTTTATTAGTAGCATATTTGCATGCCAAAGATTGGATATATGGAGCATGAGCAACATTACATTAGGGTTCAGCGGGTAAGTCAATAATTGAGATGGATTTGATCACGATATCAAAATAAGAAATTGACATAGGGCAAGCTTAATTTAACCCTAAATAGATATCGTGTGAGGTGAAAATTCATAAAAATCGTGTATAATTTACTTAAATCTTTTTCAAATACATATATCCTCTTTACTTAAAATATCTTGATAAACTTGAAGTGGCTCCACACGCTTATTATAACTATGTCTTTCGACATTATGAAGATGACTAATCGAACTAATGATGATAGACAAGTAGCAACAAAAAATTTGCTCTAAAGAAATAGAGGATCATGAAGCTAAACTTCACATGATCATGTTAGCAAGTAACTACAACAAAATGTCCAATAAAACACAAAGGTTGAATGTGCTCTTGTCATAATACATCTATAGTTAAACCGTATAAATTGGTGCTTAGTACTCTCGATTCGATAAAGACATATATTTTAAATCATGAGATCGCTGATCAAAATTATCCGAAATCATATAAGCAGATCAAATCTCATCCCACGAATTAACATATATCATGAAATCGCTGATCAAAATTATCCAAAATCATATAAGGAGATCAAATCTCATCCCACGAATTAACAACGTGGCAAACTCAGTAACTTCAACATGTAATAGATATAAAACGTACAAGTTTGCAATTTCTTTCCACACAATTGATATATACAGTAACAACTTTATAATAATTGAATTGAAACTCTGAATTGTTATATATTGATAATGATAGAATCACATATATGTACTTTAATACATTTGATGTTTGCATGTGTATGGTGAGAGTGGAGTAGAAGACAATTTGAAGTAGAAATTTAAAGTGGGATGAATGAGGACAAACACATAAGGTAATGGCAAGTTGTTGACAAATGTTTTAAAGGGATAAATTATGAATTGTAGATAGTAGTAGAAATGTACACGAAAGGGGTTTAATTGGGAGGATCTAACGGCCACCTACTTGGAACATGTGATATGTTGGGCTAAACTTTAGTGTTGTAGGACCATTTACCCATACTCCCAAACTCCAAAACCACACACCAAAAAAGCTTTTAATCGAATTGATATGAATATCGAACATCAGATAAAAGAAAAAGATATAACTTAGCTTTTAACACATATGTGATCGCGCTTAACTAAAATCAATTATACTTACGAAAGATTAAAAAAAAATTATTTATCAATTGATTATTATTTTGATGGACAACTATATATATCACGTAAAAGTTTTCGCGATAAAGCTAAGATAGTTGACAATATGATAGGCTAGTTTTCTTGAGGATACATGGAGTCCCAATATTGCAATTGGTGGTGGCATGTCTTCTTCACTTGTTGTCATGGACCCCCATCTAGCTATTTAACCCTATTAATTTTTATAGCCTTTTTTATCACTTAGCTTTCTAACCATCAAAATTAGGTCTTGCTTGAAATCTTGATCATCCTTTCTTTTCACGACATAGTGTCCGCCGGGTGCTCGAGCACTCAGTAATTTCGTTACGAAATATATATATCTCTGTAGAAATTGATAGGTATTTGTATAAAATTAACATAGAGCACCTAATGAATAAATCATATAGTTGGCCCAATGGTTCTAGGATGGGTACTTAAGACTTTTTTAATGTTGTTGTACCAAGGTTCGGATCTCATTGTTAACACATATTTTTTATAGTTTCACTTAGAGCACCCACAACCTTAAAATCCTAGATCCGCCACTGTTTTCACGTTAGGGTAGGGGCAAATCCAATGTTTCCATACTATAAAATCTTTTAATCTAAAAGTTATATAATATATTACTGCGATACCAAAAAAAAATGTTTAGTTAATGTTACCTGATAATGCAAAAATAATTTAGATTGCGAGTTTAAGTTACATAAACTCATAAATCTTATTATAAAAATAAAACATATTTAAGTTATATTCATCAATAGTATAACAAGTTTCTTGCACTATTAACTTGTTATAATGGGTTACTTACCGTTTGTTTTAAGCTATTAACCAATATTTTAACTTTGAAATAGCAATTACCTTTTAATTATCACTCCTTTTCACCTTAATTGAGTAGGGCCAAATTCAATTTTCCCATACTAGTAGACACAACAAATACATAAAAAAAAAAAAAACTTTCCTTATAAAGTCATATAATTTTAACGATACCAATCCACATAATTTAAACTCTCAAAATCATTTACTTAGCATCTAGATCTACTTATATAATAGTGAAATTGTATTGACAGTGGAGAACCAGAATTTTTATTTAGAGGATTTAAAATATGAAAAGAAATTAAAAAACATCAAATTATAAAAGTCAAATATAGTACAGCATTTACTGTATATAACTAAAATAATATTTTTAATCATATATAAATAATACTCCATCTATCTCTTTTTACTTGTCATTTTTGAACTGACATACCTATTAAAAAAATAATTAATGACGTAGTGAATTTACTATTTTACCCCTATTAATTATGAAGATGAAAAGTTTTATATTTTTCAAAGTAATTAGTCATTTAATTGAGAGTATAATAGGTTTAAAAAAATTATCATTTTTTGATTTGTTAAAATAGATGAATAAATAGGGTCAACTATTTTTAAAAATAGACAAGTAAAAAAGGAACGAAGAAAGTATAATTTTTAGTTGATATAAACTCTGCAACTCTAGATTGAGCGTGAAAAGGCGAGAAGTGAAAGGAACCAAAAAAGAGTGAATAATTATTGACTTACTATTGATGTTGAAGTGGATTCACACTTCGTAATTTCCCACGTATGACGGTTTTGCCTAATTCTTCTTTATCTATGTTAATTATTATTAACAATCATTATCTTCATCATTAAACAAAAAAGATTTGGTTAAACATGAAAAAGGCTATAATAACTATAATGTAAAGCTAATTAACTTCTTATATGGAAAAAAAAAAAAAGGTTAATGTAAAAAGTTAAGCATAAAGTTATTAGGAGTACTCCTTAATTAAGAAGCTTTTGCTTTCACAAGGAAAAAGGCAAATTGGTACTGTTTTTTTTTCTTTTTTCATGAAAAAAGAATAATAAATACGTAAATTACTTTAAAAAGTGGGGGAGAATTTATTTTTATTTAATTTAGAAGAAAAAAAAAGGGTCATTGTCCTAAACAGGAAGAGGCAAGCACACGAGGGCCTCCAAAAAGAACCAAAATTAAAAAAAAAAACAACAAAAGATGGGTGGTTCCCCGCACGTGTATTTAGCTTCCGTTATAATTATCTCGATTAAGTTATTTCGTAATTATAATTTTGATTTCTCTCGATCAAGATAAATTTAAATTAATTATATACGTGATATAAATAGTTGAAACATATTATCATATGTTTTAAGTTAAATTATAGTGTATTTTATTTATTTATGTTGTTAATATTTTCTTGTAAATAATTTATATTTGAAAATAATATTATTTTTTTGAAGTTATTTTTTTTAATTCAAGGTCTCGTGTTCGAGCCCTAGTTATAAAAAAATCTTTCTGAATTAATCGAATTTTAATGCAGGCATCAAACACTGGGCGAAAAACTAATAACAAATTCTAAATTCTCGAATATTTTGATTATAAATTATGATTCATAGTGTTTAGATATATTTCTATAAATATTGTATATTTCAATTTAGAAAAATAAAAATATTGATATGGAATTTATATTAAAACAAGTTAACTCTTTGTTATAGCAATTGATATTATGTTAGTGGTAGATAATGATTGAATATTTTATTATAAAACTCGACTAATCAAGCATATTATAAGGAACAATCCAATAACTATAACATCACAAATTATAATTCCAATTTTTATCGAATCTTTATATTCAATTATGCCCTTTTTTTTACTCTTTTAGTTACTAGTTTACTACAGTATAAATGATAAAAGAGAGGAAAAAATGCTTATTAAGCAATTAAGATTGAATAAAGTGCTTATATCCTTTTATTGGCGCATATTGTTCATGGAGATATTCTAAAAGTGAGTTGGCTAAAAATATTCCCAGTGTGTTACTGTCGTAATTTTTAATAATTCAAATTTTCTTTTATTTAAATTTTAAGATTAAATTATTATTTTTCATTATCTTGAATTGTTTTTAAAAATTACAAATACACTGTTATATACGAGAAAATTATTGAAAATAATTTTAAATTTAATGCGAATAATTAATTTTATATATAAACTATTGATCCTTTACATGATCAATTAGACTTAAATATACCTCAATCATGGATATTCATAAATTCTCGTCATGCTCATTTTTTATTAAGAGTCTTATACTCCTGCTACTTATTATATATGGCATGTTACATATTGAAAATGTTCTGAGTTTAGTTAATGGATAATTCAGAAACTAAACTAATAATTCGTGTCAAGTTAAAAATTGTTTTCAATACTTCTCTCTATTAAAATATAACACTAAAATAATTAAAATTCTCTCTTAAGACTGAAGAGTTAGGAAGGAAAAAAAATACGGATAATGCGCAAGTATCCTCTCAATCTATGTCCGAAATCTCAGATACACACTTATACTATACTAAGGTCCTATTACCCCATGAATGTATTTTATTAATAATTTTCTACCCCTTTTAAGCCTACGTGACACAATCTTGTGGGCCCAATGTTGGTTGCCTTTTTTTTCAAGCTAGTGCTTCATAAGCCGAAAAGGGATAGAAAATTACATATAAAATAAGTTCAGGGGTAATAGGACCTTCGTATAGTATAAGTGTGTCACTGAAATTTCGGACATAGGTTGAGGGGATACTTGTGTATTTTTTTTTTAAAATATAATATATAAATAATACCTCTTTTAATTTAATTTCAACGAATTATGTATTCATCGGTTAAAATATAATAAAAATACATAAATTACTTACAAATGTTCTCCTACGTAACAAATCACATGAGATTTGTTACGTAAACATGTATATTTATTCGTTCATATTTAAAATTAAAGTACGTAAATATTAATCGAATGCGTTCGCCAAAAAAAAATAAAAATTAGAGAGTTAACAACAACTCAGAGATCACGACGGTCACGTGATCCAATTGAAAAACATCACGCGGTGGCACACTCTTCTGTCACCAAAAACAACATCCCCTTCCTTAAATGCGCATCCCTGGCGTCAGTTTAGCCATTAATAGCCAAACCTATTCTATCTTACGCCGCTTACACAAAATGGCACCTCATTAAATTCAACCACAAACCAAGGTCATTTCCGTCATTCCACCCCTTCACTAATAATTCCAACATTATCCACCCCCATCTTATACGTAATATAATACCACAGATCTTCGCTTTAATGTTATTTTTGACCCCACTTTCCCTACATAATTACAAAATAACAGCTAGAGAAGAGTTTTTAATTTTATTTTTTTTAAAAAAAATAAATTAAACTTTTCCTCTTTCCTTCTTCTTATTAATATAATAAATAAATCGCTGTCTTTTCTCGATTATTGTGTTTCTTCTTCTTCGAATGTCTCCTGATTTCTTTCTTAATTAAAAAAAAAAACTCCGGCGGTTCAGTTACCGGAAAATCTATAATTCTTCGCCGGAGAACAGAATTTGTATTTTTTAAAAAATTGTAGTTTTTTTTCTTCAAGGATGAGTAGCGTACAGAATACTGTAGATACTGTAAATGCTGCCGCTTCGGCTATAGTTAATGCAGAGAGTAGAGTTCAACCGTCTACAGTTCAGGTATATATATAGTAATTATGTACTCTGTTTGTTTCCATACTATGTACTGTAACTTGTAATTATAGCTAAAAGGTAAAAAAAAAAAATTGAGTTAATTTTTGTGCTATATATATTTTTTTTAATAATGATTTGATGCAAATTTCATGTTTTTGTGAAGTTGAAGGTATATGCTTCTTCTTTTTTTTAAAAAAAATAAAATTAAAACTAGTGTGTTTCTATTTGTGGACTGGATTGGAGATTTGGTGGTGTGACGGTTATCAGCTAAGATGATCGGAAATCATGAAACGAAGGGGAAAAAAGGAACAGATCGGGGAAGCTGTGTGAAGAAATGATTTATTTATGATAGGGAATTGTAGTTGTGCGTTGTGATGGAAGATCGTTTCGCGGTGATTCGATATGTAAAATTCAGTCCATTGTTGTGAATTTTGCTTCATCTGTAAATCTGTGACCTAGAAAAGTCGGTCTATTTGTTGGAAAGGTGATTTAGAGGATAGACAAACATGTTGAGGGAAAAGCTAGAGGGGTTGAATTTTGCTACAATCCTCGGGCTTTTAGGGAGTTGATTTCTGGTATGGTTGCTCAAGTGATAGTTATTATCTCAAAAAGTGACCAACTTTGTTGATTAAAATTGGAATCAAGAAGAAAGGTGACTTTTTGAGGTAATAGTTATTAGTTGAATGGCTATTTGAGAAATTAACTCGGCTTTTTTGGATGTGGATTGGGTAAGATTAAGAAGTACTTTTATCACTTTTTAGCTAGGATCAACTTGTGGGTTGTGTAGAGAAGGGTGAAGACTTTTTCAGCATCTGGGTCCAGTTTTGGTGTCTTCTTTTTTCTCTATCTTGATAATAACTTTTAAGCAATAAGCAGTTCTCTTTTCGCCTCCGTAATTCTTGGTTTGTGACCTATTATGTGATCATCTGTAGTGCTGGATCATGTGATATAGATCAGTCAACAAGGGGAGCAGTGCCATGAAAAGAACATAGTATCCAACTGAAACAGCATATTTTCAAACCTGGCTTTAATAGAAGAATTGTTTGGATAAAAGAGAATTCTCTTTGATTCCATAGTTGTTTAACAGGACTTGCTGCCCTTTGAAAATAAGTCACTGATTGGAATTTGATTATTACTCTGATAATGAAATCATGTCTTTTAGCCTGGAGGATATTATAGGGGCTGCCATTGTAACTTCCAGGGAGAAGAAGTTGAAATCTACTGGCTATGTCTGTAACATAGGAGGAAGATTGAGGAATGACGAAGTAATTGTCTGCATCACTAGGTTTAATACAATTTTTTCGGAAAATAGTGAATAGGACCTGCATCATTACATTCTATTACATTAAATAATTCACTGTGAGTCTTTCTTAAAGTTTCAATTAAAGATATATAGTCATACTTGTAGTCTACTCCTATCTTTCTGATATGTAACCCAGCTTTTGGGATTAGAAACGGCCAATAGAAAATGAGAGTTTGCATAAGAAATATCTTGAAGCCGTGAGACTAAATAATGGGTAATCGTGGTCGGAGCATAGTAGTTGTATTCGAGTCAGTGTAGAGAAGTAGTAGGTTAGGATTTTCCTTGGAACTAAACTACTTTGACAATATAGCAGTTCTCTGAATGTTGTACAGTAACCACCTCTTCCTGTTCCACAATTATGATACCCCACATAGTTATAATTGGTTATTGTCTTGAAGCCATATTTATATTCTGAATCCATGCTGAAAGTTCGATTGATCTTTTATCTTGTGGGTGTTAGTAAACTCTATTCCATGTGGTTGTGCATTTAGGCAGCATTCAGCTGAGAAGTTGGTGCTCCACTTTTCCTTCAAGAGTTCTTCCTACGGCTAAAGGTCTCTATGTTGCTAGAAAATTGGAACTGAAATACCAGCAAAAGTATAGAGTGACTTATCCTTCTACATAAATAAATAAAAATAAAAACTTATCCTTGTACACTTGCCAGATTGGCCTTTGCATATGCACTTTTTATTCGTGTTTCTCATTTATACAAGTTATGATTAGGAAAATGAGGCTGCATCGTTGTGAAAATGGTTGCACTCAAGTTGTGTCATACAACATCAACGTGCATAGTGTTTTTGAGAAGGGCGAGTACCTCTGCACCATAGCTTGTTTTGAGCTATGAGAACAAGAAGTAATCATTGATGTCATTTCTGATGTCCAAAGGATGTATTTGTTTGAAAATACTAGCTCTACCCATGTAATGTATGAAATTGCCAAAAAGTAGTAAAAGAGGGTGTTGATAGTTATAGATTGAGCAGTGTGAAATTTATAGAACGTCAAGTTTGAAATTTTTCTTGCATTCTCTTCACTTGCTTTCTCATTTTGGGTTAACTGACATGGATTGGCAAGGATCTTACTCTGCTTGTTATAATGCTGAGTCGTACAGTTGTCTAAATGTGTAAAATTGTGCACATAATTCTCCTTTGAGGATTTATTATTCACTAACTTTTAACTTTTTGGTTCCAGAAGAGAAGATGGGGAAGCTGCTGGAGTCTATACTGGTGTTTTGGTTCTCACAAGCACAGCAAAAGAATTGGTCATGCCGTCCTTGTTCCTGAACCTGTAGCACCTGGACCTGCTGTTCCAGTTACTGAAAATCCAAACCACTCAGCCACCATTGTAATTCCTTTTATAGCTCCTCCTTCTTCTCCTGCATCCTTTCTTCCGTCTGATCCTCCTTCTGCTACCCAGTCACCCGCTGGATTACTCTCTCTCAAAGCCCTCTCTATCAATGCATATTCTCCCGGTGGGACTGCGTCTATTTTTGCAATTGGTCCCTATGCTCATGAAACACAGTTAGTTTCCCCACCTGTTTTCTCAACCTTCACTACTGAACCATCTACTGCTAATTTTACTCCCCCACCTGAGCCGGTGCATATGACAACTCCACCTTCACCAGAAGTGCCTTTTGCGCAGCTTTTGACATCATCACTGGCCCGCAACAGAAGATATAGTGGGTCCAATTATAAGTTCCCGCTGTCCCAGTATGAGTTTGTGCCTTATCAAGATCCAGGAAGTCCAGGTAGTAATCTAATATCTCCTGGTTCAGTAGTATCAAATTCTGGCACCTCCTCACCTTTCCCTGGAAAATGCCCTATTATTGAGTTTCGCAAGGGGGAACCTCCGAAATTTCTTGGTTATGAACATTTCTCCACTCGCAAATGGGGTTCAAGGGTTGGCTCAGGATCAGTAACGCCAAGTGGCTGGGGCTCTAGGCTAGGGTCTGGAACTTTGACTCCGAACGGTGGAATTTCAAGGCTAGGTTCTGGTACTGTGACTCCAAATGGTGGGGAACCTCCTTCCCGAGATAGTTATCTATTGGAGAACCAAATCTCCGAGGTAGCATCTCTTGCCAATTCTGATAATGGTTCTGAAATTGGGGAAGCTGTAATTGATCACAGAGTTTCATTTGAACTAACTGAAGAAGATGTCCCGAGTTGTAGAGAAAAGGAGCCCGTCATGTCGCATTCTCAACCAACTCTTCCAATGGATGTGTCCAATTTGTTAGCCAGTGAAATGAGAAGTGGTAGCTCTATGGCCGAAGAAAAAACCTATGGATCGCCTAGGAAAGCTTCAGAAAGTGGGGAAGATGAATGCCATAGAAAGCACCGGAATATCACCTTTGGCTCAAGCAAAGATTTTGATTTTGACAATGTGAAAATAGAAGTCTTGGAGAAGGACAGTATTGACTGTGAATGGTGGACAAGTGACAAGGCTGCTGTGAAGGAATCAGGTATTCAAAACAACTGGACTTTCTTTCCTGTGTTGCAACCAGGAGTCAGCTAATATCTTGAGCTAAAGGTTAAAAATCAACGTTAAAACGCACCGACGTTACTGCTTCTGGTAATATATATATATTATATATATAAGCAAGCTGGGAATGCAATTTTCAGGCATAGAAATCTAATTGCAGCAAACTTAGCTTTAAAACTGAAGAGTTGGACAGACTTGTGCAGTAATTGGTGTTTAATTTGGTGCTCAGATAGTTGGTCGGTCACCTGAAAATATTCCTTTGAATAAAGGACTTCTGTATACACCATAGAATATGTTTTGAAAAAGAGATGTAAATGATATTATTATTTCTTAAAAATGAGAATTTCTCACTTGTTTATGGTTTCAAAGTAGTTAAGCAATGATTGGTGGTAATCTACTACTTACTACGTTGGTGTTTTAACTTGGGTCTCCCATCTTTTTGAACAAGTTACACACACTTGGTTAATAATAAATTGGGACACCAACAATATTGATAGCAACGTTGGTCCTCTCCTTTGCACAACCAAGTTGTCATGTCATCTACCCAGCCTCAAAAACTCTTTGCTCATCTACTTATGTTCCTCCTCGATCACCTGAACAACTATGTGAACTAGAACATGAAGATGAAATCTCTCAGCTTTGACACCTTCAGCCCCTTGTCCGTTCTCCAAGCTCCGGGGTCTAGTGATTCAACCCAACTAGCAAATAACTTCCCAAGTCCCTAGAGAATCTCATCTTTTCTGAGTATGTTCATCCAGGCTTTTAATTTTGGGTTCTTTTCTGCTTCGTTTCTGTGGTAGCTTCCCTTTCATGACGAGGCTTGGCCAAGTCTCTTTTGAGTTTCTCTGCTTCAACTGAGAAGTAGGAGTCTCTCTATGAAAAATAAATAAAAATACATGATATACCTAAATGCATGGTGAAAAACGACTTTCAGGTGCAATTGCTACCCAGATACCCTGAGTAAGGGCTACATAACAAGGGGCCATGTAAATGGAAACACATTCAGGAATAATTTGAGAAGATGAATGTTTTACCTCACACCTTTAATAACAGGGGACAAGCATGAAGCAACCAACAATACCATCTCAGACGGTACACTAATTAATGTAAAGGAGGTTACATGAAAGCTACGAACCACTAACTACTGAAGTCCAATATAGATAGATGAAAGGTACAAAATCTCCAGTAAACGCATTAGCAAATGCAGGTAAAATCTGAAGCATAAAGTAAGATGTAGTTACAGCCGTTCATGAGATTCTCTGCAATTGTACAATTTGCTAGACCATAGAGCTGAATACGGAAACATTGTTTTCTCTTTGTGGCGCATAGCATAGCGAATACCAAAAGAAGAGGACCTTACTTCAACGAGGGTCATCGTGCAACCTTGCCTGCCACCCGGCAAAGATAAAATGCTCAAATGCATCTGTGCCAAGGAATGATAGTGCAACTACTCTGTATTTATGGTCATTTTGCACAGTGCATATGTATTCATCTGGCCCGTCTCCTTTCCCTAGATTTGTCTCTATCATGATCATCTCTCTCCCTGCTTCCACTCTTCCTTCCCCTATCACGACGCTTTTCTCTATCACTATCGCGGTCTCTGCTGGATGATTTCCACTGAGGGCTTCCACTTCTGCTCCTACTGCGCTGCCGCTTCCTTGAAGCTTCACGAGCATCGTCTCTTTTCTCTTTCCTCTCCGAAGATGACCTGCCTCCTGTTTTTTTGAAAGCAGAAATATGAGACGATTTGAATACAGAAAAAAGAAATCAATAACTTAAGGTAAGATTGTTATTGTTGTAATAAAAGCTGCCTATCCAGTATCCTGCTCAACCAGATATCTAAGTCTTTTTTACTTTCTTTTTTAATAACCGAGAAATCTCCAAGAACCAGCTAGCAAAAGTATAATACTCAGCGGATATAGGCCCACGCCTCTACCCTTCTCTACTTGAACACCAAATAGTCTCATCAAAGCTCGGGCTCGTGACATGCACCTAATCCATACAACAAGTCACCACTAAACCTAATCTTTTTGGAGCACAAGATACATAATCTTCACGTAAATATGATGATGACCAACTCTATCCAGCAATATGTGATTCATCTTATAGATGCTGAGAAAAAATGTTGTTAAAAGGACATTGCATCTAAAACATAATACTGTGACAGCTAAATCCTCACCAAAGTGCTTAAATGTGTGATATTATTTGCCTCGTTACATTACAAATTCTTGTACTAACGTCTAACAGAAACAGTTTAGGAAAAAATAGTCTAATAAGAAGCAGCTTAGTAACCTATGATCCAGAGAATGTCCTCATAGTGTTGTTTAAAGCAGTAAATATTAATTTTTTGAAACTGAAAGCAGTAAATATTAATATGAGCATATAAAATCAAACTGCTTCAGCTATTCTTTACTATAAAATGAAATATACATCGACAAAGGATCTGAGAACTGATTAAAGCAAAAAAATTCTACGAAAAAAACATTGAAAACAAAAAAGATAGGATTGAAGTATGATACAGCAGTATAAAGCTAAGATTTGACCTGCACATGCAATTAAATACACATTACTGCTGTTTATCAGCACTAAATGTTGATCTATTGGATTTAATTTTAAATAAATACACGGACATGTCAACTACTGACAGGTTTAGAGCTTTACCTTTTTTTGATGTATCTTCGCTGAAATTCAATAAACCATATTCAGATTGTAGGCATTGCCGATGGATTTCAACTTTCCTCTCAATTTCATCCGGATTTTTTATTCCTTGTTCTTCAAGAGATTCACGATATTCAATCAATGCAACCTCAAGACGCCTCAGCTTTTGCCTGATAAATTAGTTATGGACCACAAATCAAAATCCAAACAGGAGAAAAACTGAGGAGAGCAAATTGAAAGCAAAAGATTGCACGCATGAGGCATAGAATCCCACAAAAATTTGAAACAGAAAGAGAATCTGCAGTATGGAAATAGGAAGTATCCTACGCTCCCAGCACTTGGCATATTAACATCCCTAATCCTAAGAATATTATAGAAGTCAACATGCAGAGTCTTTCATTTCGTAAAAGTGCACCCTTGTATCTTTCCACAGGAAATATAATAAAATCATAATGAAGAAACAAGAAATCCATTTGCTGGCCTTGAGAGGGTGGGGAGGTATGAAATTGTTTCTTGTTTTCTGGCAGATCAAACTAGAGTAGTTTCTAACTTTAAAAAAATTATCCTTCAATAATTTGAGATAAAAGTTAGCATGGTTGTTAAATGGATGAAAAAACAATAAGTAAAACCTATCTTTGGAAATAATCCCACAAGGAATGCTCAACTTCCCATACCTCAACTCTTCGTTCATTCCACTTTCCGGGTATGCTGAATTGCCTGTGTCCGTTGTAAGCTCTGCATCCTTGATCTTGCTAAGCCCATCACCAGCATTCTCACTTCCAGAAGATGAATATGTCAACCCCAGGTCCCTAGAACTTCTCTTTTGTTCATCATCACTTTCATCATCCTCTCTGGCCCATTTAGATGTAGGCAAAATTGTCTCACTTTTGCCGTCACTGGAGAAGTCAATTGAATTATAGTGTGGAGCAGAATTTATTTGGTGTGAAGATACAGACTCTCTTTGTTTGAGTTGTACGTCATAATCCATTTGACTGTTCCGTTCGGAAGGAGCCATCCTGTCCAACTCAAGGTTGCTATCTTTCCGAGTACTGGGAAACCTAGCAGAACTTGAATGGCTCGCAAATTTCAAATCTTCATCTAGTTCATGACCCCTCTGCTTTTCAGCTTCTTCCAGATAAAGTAACCGAGCAACCATCATTTCCCTACCACCTACGATAGATAAACCATTGTGCCTGCATCGTCTTTCTAGCTCCGTAAGTGGAAGGCTCAACAGTTCCTTCATCGCAGCTCCTTTGCCAATTGCCAAAGCACCATCTGGGTTAACTTTGCCGCCATCACCTGCATCATCAGAGCTGGTCCTTTGCTCCACGTCAGGTGCATCACCACACAGAGAATGGAAGGGGGTCACACCAGAGTTCCCGGTTCGAAGAAAGGTAGCTCGTAAACCATTGACATAGGCATCCGAAAACAAAAACCAATCAGCCCATACTTGAAGCACTTTCAGAACTCTCTCCTGTAACATGCAAGGAAAAATTAACCACACATTAAAGAGGAGCAAAAAAAGGATACAAAAGATGTAGCAAGTGCAAGTCAAATGTAGGTGACAGGCACAATTACTTTAAGTGCCTCGGCAGTAATTCGCCCTGTTATACTTCGATATAGATCATTGAAGCTTTCCATTATGTCTGGTAAAGAGGCTTCGAATTTGGTGCGATAAGCAGATGCATTCTTCACAGGAGCGCTACTATTATGAAGAATATCAGAGACAAGCATGAGCCTAGAAACTTTTGTTGGTATTGGAGTTTCCTTTAGTGTCAACGACTCTGTCAAAACTTCAACAACCTGCAAATTATAATCAGCAGTGCAACTGTGTTGGAAGAACCATCCGAAGTATACATGTAACAGATCATGCCAAAACAAGTGCAAAGGGGCAACGAGAAGCATTATGAACATTGACACAACACAATGCAAAATCAGCAATTTTGCCTCTGAAAAGTTAAATATGAAAGAAGAGCTTCATACACAAGTGAGCTATTCGATTGCTGCATGAAACCAGCTTAAAGTTACCTCTCCAGCAGCATCAGCGTTGTCCAAAGAAAAACCCATTGCTTCTTTTATTTGACTTCTTTCTAGTGTCAATGAACGGAGCATATCCTCAAATTCATCCCTCTGAGCATCAGTCAATGTCCGTTCAACATCCACTCGCTGAACAAGGTATAGTAGAAACATCATTTACAAAGAAACTTTTAATCAAGTTCCAAAGTCAAAATCCAAACTCTTAAATGCCTTAGAACAGAAAGCTAATCAAAAGGGCATACCCTGCTTCTTCCAGCAGCATATGTGCTCCCAGCTTCTTTTTCATGATCAGCTCCTTTCGGTGTTGGTAGAGAGGGTGGTATCCACCTGCATATGTGAATTTGTTATATTTGAAGAAAGAGCACTATATCAAGGAAACTTCTAAAAAGGCTGCATCAAAGCCTTGCAGAACTCAGCAGCCTTTGCAAAAATTGAATGATAAATTATATTTAGATGATTTCATTCTTTCACAGCAAACATTAACTCAGGGAAATATCGGTAGAAGCTTCCTAAGAAACTGAGTCAATAAGTGTTGCATTCAGGAACTGATATGCACATGCATCAAATATCTGACAGCAAGAGGAAAGGTAAATATGGAATTTGTAATGAAAGATGATATAAGTTGGAACAATGCCTTACCTCCCACTACCAGTTATCATGATGAAAGGGACTG